TTGACACCAGTAAGTTATTGACTTTAAATAAACACAGATGTTACACTGCTGTATTTTTTTTCTTTTCTGTCTGTAACCGTATTTGTGATTCCAACTTCTAACAAAACTGAGAAAAAGGAAATGGAAACATTTATATTTTATTTTTCTTTAATCTGATTTTTGAAATCTTTTTAAAGACAGAGTAGAAGCTGCTAAAGTCCCAGACAATCAATATAATTTGGAATCAGACTTAGTAATACTGGGTAGAACTTGAAAACAACATAGATGTTTTTCAGCATTTATCCTATTGGCTAAATATGATCAACAATACAACATATAATGTCTTATGCATACTTATTATTAAAAAAATCTGTATTTTATGGAAACAATGTTGACAGCTTTGCTTATTCAAAAACATAGACATGATAGATTTCGTGCCACTGAAATCAAGGAAACTTGTTTTCAGAGTTAGTGAGAATTAAGAACTTAAGTGCAGCTATTTTTATTTATAATACTTTCAGATTTTTTTCTCTCCCTTTTTCACATTTTTCAGTTCTGCAATGCTGAAGACTTGGAGCATATCTTTTATTTTAATGGAATGTCATATTCTTGTGTACTGTCAAAATTCCTGGCTCTGGAGTAAATAAAAAATAATGTGCAATTGTAAAAATTGTTAACTTATCACAACAATTGTAATTAAATTACATTGAGAAATAATTGTAGCAAATATTCAGGGAAAAATTCAATTTTAAAGTACACTGTCAAAACATGTTGTTCTGCAAAATAAGATGATTGTATCACAATGCATGCTTCTTTAGAAACTAGTGGCTTGAAAAATGCTACCTTGGTTGTCTTTGGTACCAAAGAAATTGAAAATAAGCTGGCAATATGTTTGTGTTATTTTCAGACTTACTAAGACTATTGTTACTAACTACCACAAGTAGCAGTTTGACTGACTGCAGGTACTCGATACCTTCACCTAATTCTTTGGTTCTTCTGAGATTTCTGGAATTTTCATTCCATGTATTTTTCCTGTTTTCTCCTCTATGAGTGGTCAAGTGGAAATAGTGATTTGTAACTAAGTAAAAAATAAATTAGGCTGCATGCCAGAGTAAGATCCTAAAAATACCCATAGTAAAGGTGTTGAAGATAGTGCATCTCCAACAATCTCGACAGTTGCAATATATTGTGAGCTGATAGGCAAAGGAACTCTGTGGTGCCCAGGCTGGCCTATCATTCCCATTTTTCAGGACTTTCAGACTCTGCACAAAAAAAAAAAAAAGAGAAGCCACTGAAATGAGGAAGACCCTGTCACATGCAGCATTAAAAAAAAAAGAGTGGAAAATGTTCTATAGATCATAACCTTTCCTTGGCTGACAGAGGAACAAGTCTTTGCAATTTTTTGCTCTTCTTTTTCTCTGACTGTCCTTGAATTTTCCAGAAGACAGAACTTTTCAGAGTAGTTATAGATCAGGAAGTCAGTGCTGATTATCAGTTGCAAATATACCCTACAATATCTAGTTGTTTATTATTCAGTAAATCCTCGGGCAGAAGAAATACAGTGCTTTAAAGTGCTGTAAAACTAGGCACTGAAAGTCACTTTTAACTAAAACAAATGATGCAGTTCTCTGGTGAGTTAATTTGAGGTGGTATTTCTAACCTAACACTGACTATAAGATCACCTGATGAGAACTATTATGATGTTTTGTAGCCATACAATATATGGACAGGTAATGTTGGTGAGGAACTGAATTTTTTTCTTCAGACAAATAAATACAGGTCCTGCCTATATGAATCTGAATCATCCCTGTGCTGCTGAAGCCAAAATAAGTGATAAACTACAGTGATTCAAGGGGAGACCTCCACAAGCTGTTAATCATTCTAGGATTACAAAGATGAGGGTCTCAAGCTGATGTTCACCTAACAACTGACTTCTTGGATAGACACTTGCATGTAGTGAAGATATGTAATACTGAGATCTTTTTTACTTTTCTTCCAAGATTATAGCAGTAGCTGATGCCTAGAAGCAACAGCTAAAAACAATGCACTGCGGATGTCAGATGCCATTTTTTAGCACCTTATTCCTTAGACAGTGATTAAATCTCAGCACTGTTAAGGGAGAAAAATAGTTCTAGAAGATGTGCTTTAAGGTTTTGTGGGTTGTCAGGAGAGGTTACCTTAGGCAGGATATTGCTGGTGTTTGAATTTCTTGCTGTGTTTCTCCACTCATGAGAGATACTTTCAGAGGAAGGCAGAGTTATTTGCATTTGCTTTCAGGATGCTCCCTACCTGTAGTTCTGTTGTAAGCCAGAATTTCTAGTTAAAGCTGCAGTCACCTACAGGAGTCAAAAAAGCTTTCTTTTTGCTTCCAACACATTATTTGTCTTCTGAGTTTCTGAACTGTATCCTTCGCTGACTAATCTTGGAAGTGTGAGAGCTGGCTCATGGTTGGAGAAAGGTTACTGAGATAGTGGAGAGAGTGCTCTAGAGAGATATGGAAGGTTTTTTTGAGTAGCTGCCTGGTTTGTATCACTGTTAACCTCTTGGGTTTATAAACTGTTAGATTGGACCTTATGAAGGAATTAGATGAGGTTGGCTCCTTGGGACCTTAGCTGTGTTCTGCAGCCAGGACACTATGAATGAACTGGTATTTGTGTCTCATCTATTTCTCAGGTCTAAAAATGCCTTAAGCAGAGGCTGCAACAAGGACAAAAATACAGAAGCTTCTGCTTTGCTTGTGAAAAACCTATCAGAGTTTGTACTTTACACATCTGACTCATTTATTTGCTTTTGCTTCTCTCCACCCTCATGAACATCTGTAGTATCAGTAACTGTCATATTTACAGTGCAGTGACACAGCTTTTCTTTGTCTCTCTTATGCCATCAGGCAGATGTTACTGATCAGTCTGCCAGGCAACTGTGTTTGATGTCCAAAGCCCCAGGGTACAAGGGAAAAGTATGGTGTTTGGCAGATTTCATGGAGATCTTGTTTCATCCTAGCTGCTGCCTCCCTGCTGCTCTATGTCACCAGATTCTTCTGTCATGGGAATTCATTGAGAGACTACACACACACCAAGCAATTAAAAAGTTGATAAGTCAACAATTAATTTATATCATATTCTGTCTGGGGCTGTGGCTTGTGACTGTAGGACAAGGGAGAGAGTAAAAAGAAATGCTGTGATAAGCCTATAGTTGATTTTACTTTTGTTTTTAAAGGATAGTTTCAACCTGCTAAGAAAAGTAAATAAAAACATTAGTAGATCCAAAGCCAGGGAGACTTCAGTGCCATTACATGCAGCCTGTGGGATCAGCTGTGTAAAATACTCAGTTTTAGTTGCATTATCCATGCTGACTGTTTCTCCCAGATAGGCTAAGAAGAGTATAGAAATGCAAATCCTGCTCTGCTGAAGTTAATGATAAATCTCTTATTGACTTATATGGGATAAGTTTCAAGGACATTGGAAATGCCTATAAAATGAGCCAGTGATGAGCAGATGATCTCCACATGAAAAGCCGTGTTCCATTCTCAGTCTGTGGCTCTAGCCAGCCATACTAGTCCACATGTTTACATGACAGACTGTTAATTTAGAATTACTGTATTATTAATTACAAATGTTAGATTAAATATGCAGAGATGTTTATGAAGTACTTTTAAATGCTGGGTCATGGTCTTATTTGGGTATTAGAAAGATACAAGCAATAGTTATTTGGTATTAAAATAGAATCACATAAAAAGGTCTGTGCAAATATATCTGAGGTGTATTCAATACCTTCTAAATATAGGTTTTGAAAAATGACATGAAATTGCAGTCTTGTTTTATGCTACAAGCCCTGTTACTTACATTGTTTCTGATTATTTTCATTATTTGTCTTAAAACTATTTCAGGAAGGTAATAAAAGTTAATTGATTTATTATCTGACAGCCTCAGTGTAGGTTTCAGTAGAAAAACAGAACCTATTGTATGTGTGCATAAACAGCCCGTATTCAGCAAAAGCACACTCTATACTTTATTTAAATTTGTTTCCTTTGTGCCTAGAGTGCCTAGAATTTTCCATAAGGCTTGTGGGTTGGCGGGTTTGTTTGTTGTTTGTTGTTATTTTGTGGGTTTTTTTAATGATTTTTTTAACTTTGGTCCTGCAGGTCTGAAAGACCTTCAGCTTTGCTAATCCTTATCTGATGCAAGAGGTTCATCACATAAAGTATGAATATCTAGGGCCCCCATTTGAGGAGGTGGGAAAGGGTGATGAGAGCAGCTCCCCAGTGTGTCTAGGGCAGACCCAGGTGCTTTGGTGCACAGTGCTGGGTGAGAATGAGTGGACAAGCCTTGCACTGACTCTGTAAGAAGAAAGAAAGGCTTTGGTCTGAAGGACTGCAAGTGGGACATTTTTGCCAACACAAAAAGTATTTCACTGTTATAAGCTAAAGGAATGAAATTGGTAACTTATCACAGAAGAAAATACACCCTCAATTTATGAGCTCAATCAGCAGAGATGGTGTGGCAGTGTAATCAAGAGATGTAGGGCAATGCAAACATGAAGTAACCATCTGTTTTCCTATAGGCTTTAACTGACCTTATATTCTATTTCCATTTTGAAGAGTTGTCTTTATGGTTCATTTGTCCCTTCCTCTTCTCTCAGCTTATGCATGTGATGAGGAGTTAGTGCACTTATCATCAAGGTTTCTGGCAATGTTTCAGTTTATAGCCTCAGCCTTTCCATGAGCAAACATTCTCAGCAACCTTTAGCCTCTCTCTTTTCCTGAGTTTTGCTGCTGCTAGTTTTTCACCTTGAAGTGCCACCTAGTACACTGGAGGGACGGGCAGAGGTGAAGGCAGGGAAGGGGATAGGGAAGTCCAGGAGAGAAGGATCACACAGCCCGTCTTTGAATCTACAGAGTGGAAATATCTTTCTTTCTTTCTTCCTATCCAGGAACAAAATCAATGTAGGGTATCTGAAAGAAAGAGAGTTAGAAGACAAAAAGAAGTGGGAGGGCACAAACAATGGGTCTAAAGTGAGCAAGGATGAAGGAACTGGTATTGGTGCTGGCCGTTTGGCCTTTGTTTTCCTCACTGCAGCTGCTGAAGAAAGTGGCTTCAAATCGGTGTAGCAACAACAGTTATGTGATCAATGTGATGCTCATGAATTACTCGGATTTCCCATTAAGTACTGATAGTTTGAAGTTAGCTGTGAAACAAGCCTTGGACAGGGTACAAAAGGAATTCCAGATGACAGGTAAGCCAATGGGTGTTGGTTGCCCCTCTATTCCTCTGATTTCTTGTCACACTTTGTGTCACAGTTTTATACTCATCTGATCTTTAGCAAGGTGCTTCTCAGACAGACTCCTTGCTTGCCTACCTTATGTAGATCTTATGGAAATAATGACCTCTCTTTGTATAAATAGAAGTGCTCTACAAATGGGCAGAACCATATATATTTTCATGGTGTTTGGGCAGACTCTTCCTGCATGCTTCTCTGGAAATGTTCAGCTGGGTTTGGTAATGTGGAATTTATTGAACTGGATCAGACAAGACCAGTGATCCATCTTGTGCAGTAATTGGATTGTTCTTGCTTCTTCTCCTGATTGGATTAACCTCTACTTCTGAAAATAATTTTCCTCTTGACCTTATCTGTTGATCAGATCATGATCTGAAGTGTGAAGAATTTACAGTTCATATTTTCCTTCATTTAGAATTATATTGCTTTTATTTATTTTGATATCTTGTGTCTTTCAACATCACCAATCTACTGTCACTCTCTAGAATATCATGGGAAAAAGAGATTCCAAGGAAATAATAAAATAAATAGTATCTATTCCCTATCTGCCCTCTAGTTTAAGACATTTTGTCCAATTTTATTGGAAAGAGGTCTCTCAGTTACTTCTTACAGAGCCTTAAAAAAATTGTCTAGTAATGGTCAACACTGGAAGTACTTTTTACTAAAAGTACAAACACTCAACATAAGTCAGCAGTCCACCTTGGAGCAGACTTCACAGTCACATCCATCATAGTGGGGGTTAGGTTGTAGGTAGACTTTGCAGAAGCCGAGTATAAGGCTGCTCAGCCCTGTGTCAGGAGAGGAATAATAGCGTATTAGTGGTTACCTGCAATTCATTATGCTGTTTGCTTTTACTTTTGTGTTACAGGAGAAAATGTTACAGTGGATGCCATCTTCCACCCCTTTACTTCATCATTCTATGTCTCACAAGCCTGCCGTACTAGCACCTGTGAAGGTGTGGAGCTCATCAAAACCATTTATGTGAGTAGCAGACTTCTTTCCATCTGCCTGGGTGTGCATGTGTCTCTGTCTTTCCTTCTTAACCTTTGATCCTGCTATTCAGTTCCAAAGAAATTTGACATGGAAATGAAGTTTTTAAAGAGGTGTTCCTGTATGTTTTGTGAAAAGAATTAGGCAAATACTGGAGAGAGGTTCTATGAATGCTTCCCAGAGAGTGCTTTCAGGTTTTGTCTCCTTTTCCTGTGCTTAAGTTACCTCCTTTTTATATCTGCACAACTCTTTGTGCAGTCAGATAGCCAAAGCAATCCATTTTAAAAAAACCCAAATAACAATTGACAATCAAACACTTGAAACAGCCTGAGCAGAGCAAAAAGGTCAATCTCCAACTGAATCAGATCCTGATCTGGTTCGAGATCAGTTTACACAATACACAAAAGAAAGAGCTGTGGTGAGGATGGGGACATGGGCAGAGAAATCATTAGGCTGTCACTGTTACAAATGAAATGGTTATGGAACTATGCCCAAAGGGCAAAGATGAAGTGCTTACTTCTCACTAGAAGTCACAGAAGTCACGTGAGAGAAACTATGTGAATACTTTAATATGAGGAAAAGCTTTAGTTAAAATCAGTGCATTACAAGTACCTGAGTTTCTGAGGATTTTCACACCTCTGGTCAATCCAATGGAAATTTTCAAGTCTACTAATCTATGACCATGCTCTTAGGCTTTGTTAAGAAATTGTCCCTCATGACACACAAAGATACAGGTCAGGTCTCATTTGATGGTCATGGAAGGATTTTTTAAAATAGTAGTTTCATATGCACTTATTTAATAATTTTTCTGATACACAGGACCTTGTAATAGCAACCACCCTGTCTTCATCAAGTGCAAACTCTTCTGGGGTGCAATTTCAAATGCACAACTGTAATAATATTTTAATCCTTACTTGCTGTCTGTGTCTTAACAAATGGTGTACTCTATCTTTTTTTGTCTTTCTGTGGTATTTTTTCCTCCTCTCCTTTATGTTTGTTCTTTTAAACTTTAAACTTTTTTTTTCTTCTCTTGCTTTTGCTAGGTAAAATCTGTGACTCCTCATATCCTACAATTTTCTTCATTCTCCCATCCTCCTCTCTCTGCCACTCCTCTGCTTTATCCCAAATAACCCTTTTTGATTCCTTGCAGGATTCTGGCACACTTGGCTGTGCTGTCATAGGACCAGCTTGCACTTATGCCACCTACCAAATGGTCTCGTAAGTACCAATTCTTCCCCCTTATATTGTGATGTTAAAGATGTCAGCTGCTGAATGAAGTTGTTTTGTGAGCAGCAAACCTGCAGAGACATTGGTGTTTAGAGTACAGGAGACACCTCGAGGTCTACAGTCAAGGCAGTAAGACTTTTATTCATAGCCACTCTGTTTGGTAGGTGGAAAAAAATCCCCTTCCAAAGCCCATGGATAAAGCTTTAGTAGGGAAACTTCTAATTCCTGACAATAAGTTGAATGATTGATTGAGGAGCAGCTGGAGAGCAGCCTTGCAGAAAGGGATCTGGGGGGTGCTGGTTGGCACCCCCAGAGTCAGCAGTGTGCCCAGGCAGCACAGAGGGCAAACCCTACCCAGGGGTGCATCAGGCACAGCATCACCAGCTGGTCAGGAGAGGGGATTATCCCACCGTACTCAGCAGTGGTGTGGCCTCACTGTGAGCACTGTGTGTAGTTCTGGGGCCCACAGTTCCAGAAAGATGTGAAGGTCTTTGAATGCTTATAAAGCTGGTGAAAGGGCTGTAAGGCTTGTCCTGTGAGGAGCTGAGGGCACTGGGTTTATCTAGTTTGGAGAAAAGGAGGTTGAGGGGAGAACTTGTTGCTTTCTACAGCTTCCTGAGATGGCAAGTATAGAGGGAGGTGCTGATCTCTTCTTCCTAGGATTCAGCAACAAGACAAGTGGGAATGATTCAAAGCTGTGTGTATAGGTTGGACATTAGGAAACGTGTTTTTAGCAGAAGCATGGCCAAACACTGGCACAGGCTTCCTCAAGAGATGAATCATACCTTAAGCTTGTCATGTTTAAAAGGCATTTGGACAATGCAGTTAGTAAGTGCTCTAGTGGAAGATGTCCCTGTCCATGGCAGGGGGTTTGTAATGAGATGATCTTTAAGGACCCTTCCAACTCAAACCATGCTATGTTTCTATGAATAACATGCTGTAGCTTTTGGTCAGTCCTGAAGTAGTCAGGACTGTATGATTTTTGTAGGTCCCTTTTAAGTGAAATAATCTATTCTCTTCTAAGTTTGTCAGAAAAAAAAAAAAAAGCCTGTTTAATTAGAGAAATACTCTCCCTGTCATTTTTTATTACATCATCTATTTCTATTACATCATCTGTTTCTATTGCAATAAGTAAAACCCCTGTAATTGGGGAAGTGAACGTTACCTGGAAAATAAAATTTTGTCACAATAATGCAAAAAACTCTTACTGCCATAGTTTTTGCAGGCAAAATTCTCTGTGATAAGAAAACAACATACAAGAGCAAGAACATTTTGAGTTTAGTCTGATAACATCGCAGCATCCAAGAATATACTTTTGTCCTTAAAAGCTTACTGTCTCTGTGTATAAAATGATCTTTGTTTTACAAATACCTTGTCAGCAAAGGGTTGCCTTAATTTTTTCTCCCTGACTGCTGCTATTGCACAGGTCCTAAAATACTCTTTTGTTAAACAAAAAAGATTTTTCCTTTGAATTGTAGAAGTAAAGCTTTTTTGATGGCAAGAAGCTGTCACCCTGCAGCGCTGTCTCAATAAAGTGATTAAATCCATCCCATGGTAATGGCAGCCAGGTAGCAGAAGCCTGTCTTGAGCCTTTGGACTCCTGTCACAACCCTTGGGACTGAAATGGTGTGTGGTACCCAAAAGGGCAGGGGTAACGGGGACTGTGTGAGAAGATGCCTAGAGCAGTTCAACTGGGTTTTTGGTACCAATGCAGACTTGAAATTTGCTTGTGTTCTTGAGGAGCCTTCTAGTTCAGGTTCAAATTGTGTTAAACTAACTCAGGGCACAAGAGGAGAGGGAGGTGAGGATGGAAATCAGTAGCTGCCTTGGTGCAACAGCAATCTGTTCAGACTTGTCTCTTATCTCTTTCTTCAGACTTGAAACAATACTGAGCCTGCCTCTGATCTCTGTAGGGAGTTTTGGTCTGTCCTGTGACTACAAAGAAAACCTAACCCGCCTTCTGACCCCAGCCAGGAAACTGAACCAATTCTTCTATCATTTTTGGAGACATTCTGGGCTGCCATTCAAAACCACGACCTGGGAATCTGTCTACATTTACAAGAGAACTGAAACCTCAGAGGCCTGCCTCTGGTAAGATCTGGATCCACCTCTGACCCAGCTCTTGATAAATGGAGTCTCCACCCTCAGACATGATTTCTGCAAAGTATTCTCTCAGTCCTACACTTTAGGAGGTGCCTTACTATTACCAAGGAATGAGAGAAGGAAAAGATGAATTGTAGCTTTCAGTTGTAGCATTTACCTGACTGTTTCTCTCAGTCTATTTTAAATATTTGCAAGCCTTTGCTTTTCCTTTGGACAACATAGCCCACATGTCATCTGTGATGAAAATACTTGTTTACAGCCTTCTTAATATAAATAGTGTGACATGAGAGGCTCCTCCACAGGCTCCCTATAAATGCCTTTTTAGGGCAGGGGTCTTACTAAACTCTTAAAATGTTTCTCTGCATTAATGGCTTCAATCTGTAGGCACTATTTCCAAAGCTCAAACTTTATATTTCTTCAAAATTACCCCAGTGATTGCAGAGTTTAAGCTATATTCTCATTAGTTTGGAGCAAAGGAGACAGCTTTCATTTTGTGACCTGAAACATCAGGTTGTGTTTTATTCTCAGAAATGCTGGGTTTTCTCCTTGCCTGAAAACAAAGGCTGCTTTTAGACAAATAGACTCTTCAATATACCAGTATTTAGAATTATTTTTCTATTTTTTAGTCTTATTTAACTTTCAGCTCATGTGTGTGTGTCTGCTGCTTTGATTTTTTTTTTCCAACTTTGGGATATAAAAAGCTGATTAATTAAAAAAAATCTAATTTCTCCTACTAATTTTGTAAACGTAGCAGAGAGGTAGCAAAGAGTTCATGGAAATAACAATTATATGTATTTCTAATTCATAACCTGAGAGACTTGCAGAATTCTAAGCGAAATTTATGACTGCATTTGCTTCAGATTGATAGAAGCATATACTTATGGAATATTTTGGATACAGAATTAAAAGAATTTTTTCTGAATTAGGAGACCTAAAACCTGATCTCCATTTAACTCTTCTGTAGGTATTTATGGAATTTTATTTTTTCCTTCTTCTTTCTCAGTATAGATAGCAACTTGATCACATGATGTAATTGCTATGATCACCTCTCTTTGATGTTTTTAAATATCAGTGCACTTGGTTCATTTCTTATTACAATTCCTACACCTCCATGTTTGCAGCTGTAATTGCCAATTCACTACACACACTTCAGCTAAATCCCTTTAATTCTGCAGGTTTCATACCTTTCAGTGAAATAATTGCATGGAAGTTATTTCTGACCTTTCCAAGTGTTTCTTATTTCACTTTTTTTAATGCTTCTGACCAGGACCTTATTTATGATTTCAGAATTGTTAAAGTCCCTTTATTATTGAATTAACAACAAAAAAAATTAATTTTGTATCTCTGCCCACTTTTCATCCTAATTTAGTTGGAACCATGCATCTCATCTTGCCTTAATAGAAACTGTCAACATGAAGGTTTTTGAAGTATAATTTAAAAAGATCCATTTTCTCTAAAGCACAAGTATTACTGCATGAGCTAATTGGTTTTCCCCATATACATATAAAAATAAATTAATACCCACAGTGATAGCAAAATCAGGTTATGTTTCAAATATGCATATGTTTCTGTAAATTAGCGGTTAATGATTCTGTTCCTGAAGGAAAAAAAAAAAAAAAAAAAGGAAGCAAAAGTTATTTAGTAGCTCATAGGACTGAGATCTCAGTGCTGGTAGATCAAAGGTTACGTAGTTTGAAAACAAAGAAAGTTCTTTTGGTTTCCCCTCTGCATTACCTTTATTTCAGATAGAATATCTCTTCTCAGAAATACCATATTGAAGCAAGAGTAAAATTCAGGAGATGACTGTTTTTCCTTAATCTTTTAACAAAGTTTACTTGCTTGCTTTTTTTGCTAAGCTCATTTTTCCCTTCTAGTTTTAAGTGATTCTGTTTATGTTTTTTTGTTGCTGCTTTTCTTCCTTTACTTCTCTCACAGTCAAGGTACATGTGTTGTTTTTATCTCAGTTCTTTCTGTAGTTCCTCTTTAGTCCTTTGAACCTTCACATGTTCCTTCTTACATTACCACTGATATCTTAAATAGCAGAGTGTCCTGGCTCTGCCTCCTGTGAGTCTCACTTCCTGCCGTTTCCTCATATCTCTGACTTTTTTTTTCTTAGTTGTCTTATTAGATCATTGCATTGTCCAAATCCACTCTTTCTATAACCATGCTCAAATACCTGTGGTTGACTTTCCAAGCATTTCTGCATCTTTTGTGACATGTATTGATTCTTTCACTTTTATTGTTGCAGAAAAGTTTTCATACAAGCTTATAAACACTCTTGTGTGCTCTGAACAGCCCATCTTGCACTGTGGTTGATTTAGGGAAATGTGAGGAGTAAGCAATTTCCTGACAGTATCTTTGCTCCCTTGTGCCAGGTACATGAATGCTTTAGATGCTGGAATCACAGAGTTCTCTGAAAAACTCAAGTTCAAGGATATTTTAAGAACTCCAGAGCTGCTTAAAAAAACTGTGAAAAATCCAAACCGGAAAAGCAATGGTAAGGAGGGGTTGAGGCTGCACTGTCCCTGCAAGTGAGTTAGTTTTCCAAGGAACTCAAACCCATCCCTTAGTTAGGTTTTATGGAAAGCCTTTCACCAGAGATGGTGTAAACAAAGATATACCATTTTTCATGGATGTAAAGATAAAATGGCACAAAGTTCCTAGATTCCTCTTTTCATCCTCATAAAATATGGGGGAATATCCTGATTCCTGAGAGCTTTTGGGGTATATTATCCCATCTAGGCACAAGCTCTTTTTTGTGAGTGATTAAGAAATCCAGGGATCACAACTTCTCTAAGAAGGGCTTTAAATTCTACAAGAATATAGATACTGCAAGCTCTCTACCATTCATGTGTTTGCAGCCCTGGTACATTTATGGACCTCATTTTGACATCAAGGGGCACTTCTGGAAATGATTCATCTAAACTAGAAAAATGAATGAATAAATACTTTATCTTCTCCTAAGACTAAGCACCTGGCATCAGCAGGCCAAGTGAGTGTGAGACTAAGCAAGCTAATGGAATCATTACTTGAAGACCATTTAACCTAGAAATGTTTATATTGAGTAGCTGTTACGGCACCACAACTCCTAATGCTTATTTGAGTGAGATAATGGTAGTGCTCTGGTGCAGTCAGGCAGAAAATGGTGCAGGTGTTGAAGGACCTTTTACCACTTCCCCTCAGATATCCTGGTTTTACTGCAGAGAGGCTGGAGTTCTATGCCTGGGCCCCAGTACAGCACAGATAATGTGTCTTAACCCAGAATTGCTCTACTGCCTGCTGCTCAAATATGGGGGAGCAGGCAAACATCTTCTTCTTGTCTTTAAATCTCACCTATCTGTTTCCATTTTTGCCCATTCTGTAGTGATCATCATGTGTGGCTCTCCAGAGGACATCGGCTCAGACCTAGGGACGGAGAAGGTGGATAATGACATCGTTATCATCTTGATAGATCTCTTCAAGTAAAGTATCACCTTTGCTTTTCTTCTTTTCTCTGCAATTTGCTGGTGGATATAGGTAATGGAAATAATCTGAGTGGAACTGATTTGTTGAAATGGTCTTTCACAAAATGTTTTCTATTGCCATCTTTCCTCATGTCTTGCCATTTAAATAGTGCGCATAGTATTTAATTCATGGCACATCCTCTACAAAATCCCTTTTGGTTCGTATAATATTTTTCTGAGGCAGCAACAGAGCAGGTAGGTTTCATGTCTTCCTCTGGGCTCCTCAGTACAGGAAACCATGAAAGAAGCACAGAGTCCAAAGTCAGAATGGTCATGAGATATGGTCTATTTGAGATACGGTACATTTTTCATACACTCTGCCCAACCAGACAATTATGTAAATAGGACTTATGGTTTATTTTTCTAGACTCCATTTATTCAATTTTTAAATTATTTATGTGATATAACTGTTCTCCCAGTTTATAACTCTTGCACTTTATAACCATCTCTTCAACATCTTTATAACCACAGAAACATAACTTCTCAGAGAAGTTTCTTAACAAATCTAAGTTTTCTATTGTTTAATTTCCTCTTAACAAAACTCTTTATCAAAGATGTCTGACATAAATTTGCTTTACCAATGGTATCCTCGAAAGCCTTGGCTGTATATGAGGACTGAGAGCTCATCTCTGGCCCTAAACTTAAGTGACATAGCAGAGATTACATGGGTACAGCTAAATAGATACCTAAACTGGGTATAGTCCCAGTTGACATAGCAAGTCACAGTAAGGGAGGAAGATAATTGCCTGAGGCAGTGCTGGTGGGATGGATGGATGGATGGATGGATGGATGGATGGATGGATGGATGGATGGATGGATGATTGCAAGGCAAATGTGTGTTCCCATGCCTTGTTGTTATTGCACTGTTGGTGTAGCAAAAAGATTCCATTAACTTCTAGGGCCAGTGGGACTTCCCAGCTCTTGTGCCTAAAGCTGACCATAGCAGGTCAGTTCTGAGAAACTCTGGGTTAATGATTTCAGCGATTTAACCTTTGGTTTCAAACTGGATCCTGTTCAGGTTTTAACAGGATCTTCTCCATCCTGTACATTTTCAGGTTCACCATATCTATTTTTCAGAAGTGCCTCTAGGAACTTTCACATTCCACGGTTTTATCCAGGCACTAGGAATCCCCATTTGCTTTTCCTGAGGCAACTGGCCTCAGCTCCTGTTTCTTTGCAAATGCACAATGGGAACTGGGTATGTGAGTTCTTTAACACTGGTGTTGTAGGTATAATTGTTGCAATACAATATGTGAGGGTGATTAGGAGAGTCTTTGCTGTGATATCCATCCTTCTGATATACCCACCTGCCGCAGGCTTTTTTATGTGCTGGCCTTCTTAAACTTTCTATAGACCCCTTATTTTGCTGAGTATCTTAAATCACATTATTCTTCTTTAAAAAACTCAAAGTACAGACAGATGTATTAGATGAAAACTCAAGCTGTAGGAGGGAGAATAGGCAAAGTCCCATACTTCTCCAGGAGTAAAGTGTCTCTGAAAAAATGATAAGGTTTAAATTTTCTTCAGCTCTGAGCTGTCTGGCAAGCAGGACACAAACACAGTCTTTGAGCCTTCCTCAAGAGGGGTGGGATGTTGGAGGATTATCCAGTCTGGTGGAGTTTAGTGAGGCTTCCTTTTCAACTGGCTAATTCAGTCCAAGCCTGGATGAAAAAAAATGAAAATTTTGAAATTCTTTAGGGTGAAAAGTGCATTGTAAAAGTCAGAAGGTTCAGAGAAAGGGCAGGGACAGGGCTCTGGTGTAAGAATCCAATCAGAGCTCCATGGAGCAGAGTCTATGGTCTCCAAAAAGTCAGTACTGATTGTCAGTCAGTATTGACTGACAAAATAAAAGGATGATCAAGCATGAATAATGAGAGAAGGCTCTCACAATTATTTTCTATCAATCTAGCCATAGTCACTGACAGATCCTGCCAGCTGACACTAATATCTATTCCTAAATTCTTCTTTAACATATGAATCTGGTCGTGGCCAGTCTGTGAAGCACTTCTATCTGGCTCGTGAGGGTGATGAAACCAAAGACACCTGAAAACTACAACATCTTCTGCTTGTTTTAGCAGACTTTTCAAGTTGACACAGTTTTCTTTAATTTTCCTATCTCACTGAATTAAACAAATGAATCAATAATCTGCTCTCTGCGCCTCTGTGATTGTTTCATTTCCTCCTGTTAAATGCTTTTAGTGCAACTCCTGCTGTGCTCAATTCTAGCAGGAAATATCAAAATTAGCAGAACAAGCAAAAAAAGTGCAGAAGAGCTCAGAAACAGGCACAGTAACATGAAGAAACTACGATTGCAGTGTTGTGGATTCCAAGGAGAAACTGAGTTTTAGTAAACATAAACTCTGCTTGAAAAAAAAAAGAGGAAATAAACAGGGCAGAAAACAAGCAGTTACAATAATCATAGTTCACAACAACCTTTGAGTGTCATATTGACAGATCTCCTTGATATTACCTTTTAATATATTTAGGCACAAAAGCTAGCATCAGGGAATGAATAATATAAAGAGTTGTGTGCATGATTAAATTTTATTTTTAGAACTACTATTTTAACCTGTTAAATAACACTGCTGTTTGGAACAAGTGAGTGATTGTTATGGATACCACAGTCCCTGTTGTTCAGTGTTGATGGGGTTCTTGTGCTTTGTTTTGCAGTAACGTGTACTTCAAGAAGAACATCTCAGCTGATTACATGCACAATGTGCTTGTCCTGACTCTGCCACCAGCTAATTACAGCTATAATACTGTAATTAAAGACTACATAGAGATGGAGGACAACATCCTGGTAAGAATGCTGTTCTATATATGATTATTGCATTTGGTTTGTTCCTGTTCATGTGTGAGGAAACAAAAACTAAAAATGCAGCTGTAATCATCCCCATCATGCTTCTAAGCTGGTACCTCTTTATATTATTGCAGGATGGTATTTTGTCCTGATGTAATGATGTCAAAATATAATATCATGAGGCAAATCTGCAGGATGTCATATTCCTGCTTTGTGAAGTTCAACTCAAACTTTTAATTTGTTCTTCAAGTCTCCTATTCACGGGAGGGAGGGAGACTTACTGGCACATGCTTTTCCCACTCCATATCTGAGTGACTGACACTCTTACACATAGCTGCAAGGCATCACTCAAGAAAGATCTATATGTGTAATTGAGATGTAAGCATGGAAAGTTCAGAACTAATATTTTTTGGCTAATTTGTCTGTGCAGATATATCTAAGAGATGACTTCCATTACAGTTTCTTTCCAGTGGCTTTCCAGATAAGCTACAAAATCAGGAACCTTTTTGTTTTCCATAGGAAATA